AGTTTAGTTGGTCATCAATCGTTACTCCAAGGATTTTCACCATTTTGAATGCATTAATGGTTGCCCCATCAATCTGGATTAAAAAGTTTTAATGTAGAGTCGGGTTGGCAGAAACTTCAAACATTTCCGTTTTCGAGAGGTTCAGCTGAAGATGATGATCTTTCAACCAGTGTGAAATGTCTGACAGGCAGGCTGAGATGCGAGCTGGAACCGAGGGATCATCAGGATGAAAAGAGAGGTATAGCTGGGTATCATCAGCATAGCAGTGGTAGGAAAATCTATGTTTCTGGATGACTGATCCTAAAGATGTTGTGTAGATGGAGAAGAGAAGTGGCCCAACAACAGAGCCCTGTGGTACCCCAGTGTTTAGATGCTGTAAGTTGGACACCTCTCCCCTCCAAGACACCTTGAATGACCTGTCAGAGAGGTAAGATCTGAACCTCTGAATAACAGTGCCTGTAAAGCCCAGTCACTCAAGCGTAGAAAGCAGGATCTGGTGGTTTACAGTTTCAAAAGCAGCTGACAAGTCCAGCAAGATGAGGACTGATGATTTAGAGTCTGCTTTAGTCAGTCTGAGATCCTCCACGACCGAGAGCAGGGCAGTCTCAGTTGAGTGGCCTTTCTTAAAGCCAGATTGCATGTTGTCCATGAGGTTGATTTGTATATATTATGTATTGTTAGATTATATATTATGTCATAATCTCGTTTTATCGTGTAATTTCAACTTTTCATAATTTTGACATTTGATTTAGATTATATACGATTTCTAAAATCTATTTATTTAAATCTCAAATTTGGACTCTTTATAATACAAATATTAGTTACTTAAATATTCATTCATTTTTTCTTCAGCTTAGTCCTTTATCTATCAGAAGTCAACACAGCAGAATGAACCACCAACTATTCTAGCACATTTACGCAGCGGATACTCTTCCAGCTGCAACCTAGTACTGAGAAACAGTCATACACACTCATTCAAACACATACACTACGGCCAATTTAGCATACCCAATTCACCTATACCTCGTCTTTGGACTGTGGGGAAAGTGGAGCATTCGGAGGAAACCTATGCCAACATGGGGAGAACATGCAAATTCCACACAGAAATGCCAATTGGCCCAGCCAGGACTCAAACCAACGACCTTCTTGCTGTGAGGTGACTGCTAACCATTTTGCCACCGTGCCACTGTTATTTAAATATACATTTTTTTGAGGAGTGCAGATTCTGTATGGGCCCAGTCCTAATTTCAACTTTTTAAGGCATGATATTTATTTCTCACCTAGAGGAAATGGGCTTCAATATGTAACTGTGCTAATACTAGTAAAATATTTCATAGCTGTCAGCCAATCAGATTCAAGAACTAGATAAAATTGTTTTGTTTTTCAAATACAATATTATAATTATAAAATGCATTATATGTAGGATCCCCTTAAAACATTTAAAAGCATTCAGAGTAAATAAGTAAAAAAAAAATGAAACAAACGTTTGTCATTATATCGGTGTTAGATGTAAACATGGATCATCCTGCGTTATAAGAACAACTTTTAGACTATGATATGCAAACAAAAAGATAATCATCTAAGGTTTTTATCATGATTTGCCTTACTTGTGTGTGTTTTTATTCCTAGTAGTGGCCAAAAATCTTTTGTAATTAAAAAAAAATCCGTTAACTACACTGTTAAAGCCAACAGTCAACTTTATCAAATGAAATGAGTGTAGTTCACTCAAAATTGACAAAGTTAATTCCACTCATTTGAAAAGAGTTTTGAACTCAGTGTTGAAGGTAATGAGTTAATTAAATACCTCATTACTTCAACTTAAATGGAGTAAGCTCAAAGTACTCATATAGATTATTATTATTATTTTTTTTTAACAAATGGTTTGTTGCAATCGGTTTCCTCAAACAGTTTGGGTTGCCTTAACTTATTAGATTTTACAGTACTCTGTACAGTACTCTGTTTACCGTACTTGACTTCTCTTCATTTATTGGGTTTTACTGTGCTCAAATTGCTTCGTTTACTCAAATGGATTAAGTTAACAGCACTCATTAGGATTAGTTTTTTAACTTAAATGGTTTGTTGCAATCGGTTTCCTCAAATGGTAAGAGTTACCTTAACTTAATGGGTTTTACATTGTAGAATAAAGAAGCATTCAAGCAAAGACCCATGAAGATAAACTCAAGAAGTAAAGTCTTTTGTTTTATATATATATATATATATATATATATATATATATATATATATATATATATATATATATAGACACACACACAGACACATATTATCTTTATCTTACTGTTGCAGCTTAGCTTTGTGATAAGTTCGACATGTGGTTTAGTAGATGACATTTCATACAATGTATTTAACTCCCTGAACTCTTTCTCACAGCATTCACAGCAGACTAAGACCTGTCTACATGCAACTTGATCCTCTATGAATGTTTCAATTGATTTTTTTTTTTTTTGCAACATTCTTAATGACAGGGCAAAAAGTAAGACAGACAAAAGACTGAGACAGGTGGAAAGTTTGATAAAGACAGAAGATTATTTCATCATCATCATTCAGGATGTTGTATCTTGTCTCCCAGCATGTACTGATAGGAAATGCAACAAGATCAGCCATCTTATCTGATAGTAGGTGGACTGTCTGCTGCTATAATGAGGCTAAAGCAAAGTCTCAAAGATGTCAACCTGGCAACACTTTATTTTCATGGTGCCATTTAGACATTCGGTTCACTATAAGTATGCTTGCAACTACATCACATCTAGCGGTCATTAGGGTATTGGTAGACTGCCTGCTTCTTCTAGCCCTTTAATTCTTTACATTCAGGGTTTCTATTGACTATAAGTAACTTTGTAAGTACAAGTCAACTAATTCTACTCTTAACTCTAATGAGACTTAGTTGACACATACATGTTAACATTAGTCCAACTAGATGGTTTTCCTGGTTTATTTATAGATAAATGATTTATTTAATTTGTTATTTTTTGTGTATTAAGTGTTTAGGTACATTAATAACCTCTTAATAAGTCTTACATTACATATTCATGTTTGTTTTTTAAAATATCAATTAAAAAACAAACATTACACATGTTCATAGGGACCGGGATGTTTGTAAAAAAAAAATCATAAAAAGCGTGATTTAAAAATAAGTTTAGTATACCTTTCCTCAGAGATTTCTTTCACCAGAATACCACTGAAAAAAAAAAAAAACATTTATTTTAAGCATTTTAATCTTTCATATCTGTGCCAGTGTTGCTACACACACACACACACACACACACACACACACACACACACACACACACACACACACACACACACACACACACACACACACACACACACACACGGCATATATAATACACCCTTTACAAATCTCTCTTTTAAATTCAGATTTTTAATAGGAAGCTATACAATATTATATTAGGGCATACACTTTAGAGTACTGAAGCCAAATCTGAAGCTTATCATCTTAACTTACTAGTACACCTAAATTTATGTAACAAAAAATATTTACAGAAAAATCAATAGAAGCAAAAAAAGAAAAAAAAATTGCTGAAATTTTGTAGTCTGTCATTTTTTTAAAAATATTTTGCTTGAATTTAATTGTATTATCTTTGTATTATTAAATATGTTTGATGACTAAAATCTTATGTTAATAAATATATCTGTTCAATAAATCTGTTTTGTTTAAATGCACCAAAATACATTGCCTATATTCACTGAGAAATGGATAAAAATATCAACTATGCTGAGCACTATATATATATATATATATATATATATATATATATATATATATATATATATATATATATATATATATATATATATATACACACACACACAGTTGAAGTTAGAATTATTAGCCCTCCTAAGAAATAAAAAAAAATATACTAATATATTTTTATATTTAAGCTGTATAGAAGTGTCTTGAAAAATATCTAGTCAAATATTTCTTACTGTGATCATGACAAAGATAAAATAAATCAGTTATTAGAGATGAGTTACTAAAACTATTATGATTAGAAATGTGCTGAAAAAATCCTCTCTTCGTTAAACAGAAATTGGGGAAAAAATAAACAGGGCAGCTAATAAATCAGGGGGGCTAACAATTCTGACTTCAACTGTATATAGAAATAATCAACTTTTTTGCAGTTGTTGGTCTGCCAAATTATTAAAATCATGTAAATATTCAGTATATTGACATATTTTGTTATTGTATATTGTTTTGTATGTATATGCACATGGGCATTTGTATGTGTGCAAGCTGTATTTTTTTTTATCTGTCAAAAAAATCCATCAAAATTAACATTACAATATAAAACATAATTTTTTGATGGATTTTTTGACAGATAAAAAGAAATACAGCTTGCACACATACTAATTCTCATGTGCATATACATACAAAACAACTGTGATGTCAATATACTAAATATTTAAATTATTTAAATAATTTGGCATGCAGCACTCAAAGACCAACATCTGGAAAAAGTAGATTATTTGCTCCACAGTCTAAAAATTGTTACAAAATGTAAAACAATTGCTACAATGTTGATGTTTTGCCAAAACAATGTGAGCTTGTTAACTAAGAATGGACATTTTTGTGCTTAAATGAAACTGAGATTGAATGCTGTGTTAATTGGGGCATTTGAAAGGGAAATGATGGTCAAATCTAAAAATAAATAAATAAATAAAAATGTGCACCCTTTTGCAAAAAATGTATGCTTTTTGCAACAACACAGCCAAAGTTATAACAAAAATGTAAATGGAAAAGACAAATACCCATAAGTGTACAAGAGTTAAGCAAACAGCCTGGAAAGCTCACAAAAATAACATAAAAGTTCATAAATTCCAAAACCAGCCTCAATATTCTGTGTTTATTTCAAATCCTGCATTAAGGACTTACTATAGAACGACATGCGCTATGGAGGTGGACAGGAAGAGTGGTCAGCTGAGCCGTCTCTGATTGGCCATTGGGGGAGGTGACATTTTACGCCTATTCTAACAGCAAAGATAAAATCCCCACCTGCCATTACCCTAAATTCAGGAACCTCCAGCAGATGAGCACACGCTTACCCACACACCCCAAAAATAAAGAAGTAACAAACAGAAAGTCTCGTCCTTCTTATTCTACGGCCACTGTCAGGGCAGGTTACTCTTCACGGCAGATCTCTGCTTGCCTTCTTTTTTTGGGCCTTTGGAGATCTTTGAGGCGCCCCACGTGATAAGGTGCGTGAGTTAGATCATTGGTTTCATTTGGTAAGAGGAAATTTAGCAGAGTTGAGCAATGGTACGGGGACAGTTTTGAAAGCCCTTGAGAAAGCATCAGAGTTGCAGATCGAGCATCAGGCGAGGCGAGGAACCCAATGCTGCATCCGTACAGAATGGAGGGGTACATCATCCCACCCGTGAGTATTTATCATCCTCTTAATGCTCCAGATATTAAGATGCTGCTGCTGCTGCTGTTTAGAGATGCTTCAGTCTGAACCACGCGTTTATTTTTAAGTTGCCTAATGTGCCTTATGTGGACTTGTCATTGTGGACATGCTAGCAACTGACTAAATGTTTGCATTATTTTGCGTTTGATGTTTGTCAGTCTATTAGAATAATTTGTACAGTTTGGTTATGTTTTATTAGGAATAATCAGAGTCATTGTGGAGATGCATGTCAATTAAGATTTAGCTTGAATTTTTTTTACCAAAGTGATAAATTAGTTAGATCATTGTTTATTTGTAGATAGTTTCTTTTAATGTGCCTTGTATTGGTATTAAAAGACAGACTTTATTGTTATTCATAATATATTTGTCCTCAGATTTATTTACTCTTTCTAATATACTTTTAATAAGCATTTTCAATTATGTTTTCTACAAAAAAAAATCATTAAAAAAATTTTGAAATTAAGAAAGCAGCCTAGAAAGTAATTCAACACTAATTTACATGAAAGCTTACATTTCCAAAAACGATCTGTGTAATTTCATCCTACACCCATTTCAAGCCTTAAACTTGGATTTTAAGTGTAATATTAATTGATAGATATTTTAATTACATTTAACATGCAGTGGTATATTTGCTGTATATACATCATTGCAATGGAAAAATTAACTGCTCTCCAAAATGTATAATAATCCTAATTTCTATGTAGAAAGAAGAGGGTAGAGAGAGGGTAACCTGGACTGGCTGGATGTCACAGACACCGTCTGTACAAAAAGATTACTGGGCAGTTTTAACCAAAGATGTGAGGCTTTTCTTATATGGCACAGTGTATTATTATTTCCCAATTGGCTGTGGTTATTCAAACTGGTCATTTGTTTTTGTCTTTAATCTATTTGCTTAGCAGCAAACAGAGGAAATGTTTGAAACAGAGATCTATCGACCACCAATGGAGTATCAGTATATCATTGATGACAGTCAGAACGGTGAGTTTGTATCAGTTATTTATTTATTATGATAAATCTTTAGATATGTTTTACAGAACATATAAGTGAAGTTGATGATGCATGTATGATGCAGCTGTATTGCTATCCAAACTAAGGGTAGAGATGAACAAATGAATGAATAAATGAACAGACTCTACTGCTGCTCTTCACTTCCCATTGTCATTCTTAATAACAGGTCATTTGTACTAAAATAAAAGCCATCAAGAAATAATTAACCAAAAAATAGGAAAAAAATCTAAACAATAAACCTGTGATTTAGATTCAAAATGTATAGTTCATACACCTTTAACAGATTAAACACATATTGAAACAACTTCAGGTTTTTCCCCAATAACTACAGAATGCATTTTGCCCTATTTTACTTTCTTTTTCCCCTTTTGGCCTACGGCAATGAGGATACTTTGACTAAATTGCATTGGTTTTTTTCTTACATACAATCGGTTTCATAGTTTTAACTGTCTGACCTCTTGCAAACTAAGTGTTATAACACCTTGAGAGGCCCACATAAACAGTGATCTAACGGATTAAAATCATACCCAGGGCAGCTGGGACTGAACTGTAAGGGGACGTTAGGAGAGCGAGCGAGTGGAACGGGCCTAGTGACCTTGCACAAAGCAGGAAACAGATGCCTCGTTCTGACAGGCAACAAAACTACACACGTAGAACGGCAAATATCCCCAAGGGTTTCTCTCCAAGCGAGATAATTGAGCATTTTAGCTATGTAGGCGTCTAAAATTTCATGCTAATAAGAGCAGCAGTTTCTGTCTGAGGTTGAGGATGGCGGTTGTGTTTCGTTACTGTATAAAGTTGTGAATTATTTGTGATGAGCTTTAATCTGACCTTTGTTTAGACCTTTGTGTTATTTAGCCAGGCCTGTCGTCAGCAAACTGTGCTGATTTTCAAAGAAGTTAAATGACAGAGAAACTGAAAGTTGTTCAGAGTTTCATTATACTGTAGTGAATAATGTTAGTGTTGAGTGAAGGAATGTGTATGTTTATCCTGAGAATGCACACTATGGCTTGAATGAGCACTACACTCTTTAAAAAAAATCCTTTAATCGGCATCAATGAAAGGTTATTTACAGTGGAAAAATCGCCGATACATTATTCAAATTTTCTTCACACAATAAGAAACTAATAGTTCTTTTGAAAACTCCACCGAAACATCGTTTAATGAACCCAGGATGATTGTTCCATCTGTGGCATCATTGCAAAAATGATTTTGGAACCTTAAAGAGAGAAAATTAAAAAAATAAAATAAAATAAATAAATTACACACTATCTACGAGCTCTAAAAGAAGCTTATTTGGAGAATATTGAAGAATAAAATCTTGTTTTGTTTTCTCATAAAGGTTCATAAAGAACCAAAGAGGTTTTCATAGGGGTGCCATTCAACAATTTTTTTTGGTTCCTCAGAAAACCTTTTAGTGAAAAGTGCTTTAAAGAACCATTTATTTTTAAATTTAATTTTTTTTTAAAAAGGTTTTTTACATGGAATATCAACTACAACATTCATTTTATGATTATCCTTCCATGTTGTTGTTAACATTACCCCAAATAAACACTTCCCTCCCTCAACAGCCTGTAACTTCCCATTGAAAAAACAAAATAAACATAATTAATACTAATAATTAAGTAAAAATAAATAATAATAATAATAAAAAAGACAAACAAGTAAAAAGTAAAAAAGTAAAAAAATTTAAAAAGAATAATAAAATTCATATATTATTACTCAGCTTAAGAATCAAGAGAGTTAGCCAGCAGATTATCTAAAAAGGGATGCACGACTTGTCAAAGTCTTTAAAGAACCAGTAAGTTACAGTCAATTTTTTTTAATTTAATGCAAGTAAACACTTCTTTTATCCATGACGGGTTTGCACTTACAGGATGAGACGTCTTGCTAGTAAAGTAGTAAAAGCTAAAGCCTTTCAGAACATCACAAAAATGTTGGCATCTACTGCCAACCCAAAAATGACCAGAAATGGATTTGTATCCTGATCCATGTCGAACGCATCTTTCAAAGTTTGAAATATTTTAGTTCAATAATAAAATAATTTAGGGGTTTAACCATAATCTTAACAAATTATGATGATGATAATAAGAAAAAAAGAACCTTTTCCACTGTAAAAAACCTTGTGTAGACTTCGATGAACTGAAAAGGTTCCTCATGGAATAATCAATTCCAGTAAAGAACTGTTATTTTACCGAGTGTAGTGGGGTTTTAGCTTAGTGAATTAGATTCCTTACATTGATCATCTTAAAAGATTATAAATAAAAAATCTGTGATGACATATAAATGTTTTATTTTGAGATTTAACTGCAGAATACAATAGCATTAAACAACATGCTTGAAGCTATTCAAAAACTGCAGAGGAAATGAGTGCTGGTGTGAACAGGAAAGACTCAGTGACACTCACAGCCCTAGTGCTGCTTACAGTGAGAAAGTAAATGTAATTTCTTGTGATAGATCGAAATGACAAAAAGAATAACTTGTTCATTTTTCAGTCAATGTTTCCTGCTTAGAGAAGGAGCATGTGGCGTATTGTCATATTTCTGTAGACTGTCAAACAATGCTTTCTTCTGACCCTCTCTTTCAACTTCAATGTCCGTGTCTAGATCACTCTTGGGATTATAACACGCATCACATTCATCCAGTGGACTTCGAGAATCTGCCGGAGAGCCACTTTACAGAGCTACAAAGCGTGCAGTCACTACATGCGGCCAGTGTGCATCGCTTTCCAGATGTGGAGTCCAGCCATTTCATGGACCCAGGCCTGGGTAGCCATCACATCCCTCTAACCAATCCACAGGTGAGACATGCACCACAACATCTCATATGTTTTAAAGTTCTCATATAAATCTAATTAATGATGATTAAACCAAACATATACCCTTATAATCTACAACTCTAAAACGAATCATTTATGGTTTGGTTTATTTGGTGCATTGTGACGCGAATGGGTGTTGCTGGTTTGGAGGTTGTAGAAAGCATCTGTGCCCAGGCTATTGCTCAACTAAAGCCTTATCCTGACCAAAAGTCAATGCTGTCAATGTAACTGCAGTCTGCAAACTCATCAACTGCCATTACACAGAACATCCCCACTTACACAAACAAAACCACTCATTATTGTGACACTAACACACAAGCGAACGAATGTTTTTCACTTTGCACACATAAAAAACACACACAGTTAAAGTCACAATTATTAGCCCTATTTTTTCTTTAAGCTCTGTTTAATGGAGAGAAGTTTTTTTCAACACATTTCTTAACATAAGTTTTAATAACGCATTTCTAATAATGATTTATTTTATCTTTGCAATGATGACAGTACATATTATTTGACTAGATATGTTTCATGGTACTAGTATTTAGCTTAAAGTGACATTTAAAGGCTTACCTAGGTTATTTAGGCAAGTTAGGGTAATTAGGCAAGTTATTGTTTACAGTGGTTTGTTCTGCAGCCAATTGAAAAAAATATTGTTTAAAAGGGCTAATTATATTAATAAAGCTTAAATAATAAAAAAAATCTCAAAATGCTTTTTAAAAAATTGAAAACTTCTTTTACTCTAGCCTAAATAAAACAACTAAGACTCTTCCCAGAAGAAAAAATATTTTAGGAAATACTTTCCTTGCTCTGTTAAACATCATTTGGGAAATATTATTTTAAAAAAATCACAGGGGGGCTAATAATTTTCACCTAAAAAAATGAAGAAACACTTCTTCAAACCCAAAGAATAAAACAAACATAAATCATTTTTTCAAACCCAAATCTAATAAATCTAGTAAATACAGACAAAAGGTGAAATTTTAAGCGGTCTCTTAACTTAGCTGTAAACTTGATCATTTTTAATGTCCTCATTTATATGTCACTTTGGATAAAAGCATCTGCCAAACGATTACGTGTAAATGATGTCTGGCTGGCCCCCTGGACAATATTAACAAAACTTGAAATTGTAATAAACCATAAAAATATGAGGAACATATTATGGAAGATAAGATATATTCGGAAGAGAAAACTACTAAATTTGCATAAGTTATTTAAATGCCAACAAAAGTTAACTACAGTGATTCATTTTATTTTACAATGTTTAAAAACTATAAAAACATTAACGGACAAGAAATAAAGTTTGCAAAGTCACATCAGTATTATCAGTTATTAATGTCACTTGTACATTTAATCAGCTGACACTATAATACAAAGGGATGTAAAAATGAAGACAATGGAAGCAATTAAACCAATAACGCTCAAAATAAAATGCAATACAAAAAATACAAAAATTTGTATTTGATTAGAATTAGCATCATTATTGTTTATCAATATCATAAATTAAACAAATGAAATGTTGAACACATACAAAAATGTACATGCCCTAAACACAACTATACTTTTATTAAAGTTCATATTATATTATATTATATTATATTATATTATATTATATTATATTATATTATATTATATTATATTATATTATATTATATTATATTATATTATATTTAACTACAGTACATTTGCTTAGATAAGCTACATCAACCATTAAGAATTATCTTTGGGATGACATCAGGTTTGGCCACTGCTTTATCAAGAATCCGAATGTCATTCAACTCTAGGTGTATTACCATGTTTTTGGTAGTTTATTAAAAAAAAATAGCTACATTCCAGAGACTTTCCATCTACGTCTGTTTTGATTTCAAAAAGCTATGTTCTGTTTTGCTCAACCTTTGGGTGTAGTTTTTGCTGATACTTCACCAAAAAGAGGATATATGCTTTGTGTATTCATTATTGACTTCTCTGCGGTTAGAAAATGAAGGAGAATAGCGCAGTGATTGATTTTCCTTCCTTTGGTTGGAGCTCATCTCAAAGGCAGACTTTAACCATGAAGTCTGACACATAAGAGAGCTTTTCCTTTTAGACGCTCTTGAAGGAAGCAGAGATCCGTCCACTACAGACTGATATCCTGCCTGTCAAATGGCTTCAGTCCCACTAGGTTAATAAAGCTTGGGGGAAAAAAATATAGATATACAGTTCTCAGCATAAATGAGTACACCCCATTTTGAAAATTAATATTATCCATTTTCCAATGATTATATGTAATATATTTTTGTGTATTTGAGATATTTATTAAAATGATTTTTTTAGTCACAGACATCTTTAAAAATAGAAAGACAACACATATAAATGAATAAAGATCATTTTTATAATTTTTTTTTGTTTCACTTGTTTGTTTCTCTTGTTACATTTTTTATTTAATATTTTTCCCTAATATATAAATTTGGACTACTTAATTTTGTACCGTATTATAAGTTCATTTATTAGTTCACTGTATTATAAGTTCATTTATACAGATTTGGCTTCAGAACTGACTAATCTAATGTATATGCACAAGTATAATAGTGTGAAGCATCCTAGAAAATATTGATTTATATGAAAGATATCTCCGGGCTGTATTCATATATGCTGAGCACTGTATATTCTGTATATAACTTTACATTTTGGATAACATTACATTTTACAATTTTATACTTTTTTACATTATGGATAAAATAAAATAAATAAATAAAGGGATCCTTCCCCCAAAATGGAAACAATGTATTCTCACTCCGCTTGTTTCATGTTTTGTTTTTTTGGTGAACACACAAGTGAATTTGAAGAAGTGTGAAAACTGGTGGCCATTTACATTCATGGTGTTTTTATTATTTTCCTATGATGGATATCAATGACTACCATTGGTTTAGTAAAGTGAGAGTCAATTTAGATTTTTGGAAAACTATCCCTTTCATATTTCTCGCTTAAGCTCACCAAGCTGAATTTACTTGATTAGAAATACAGTAAGAGACCAATATTCTGAAATATTATTACTAACTTTAACTTAACAAATTTAAAAAGTTATGGTGGCAAGTGTTTCAGCATCATTACTCCAGACTAAAAGGGTAGAAATCTCTCTCAGTTTTACCTTTATTTTTAAAGATATTATTAACTAATGCCACCACAGCAATGACATACATTTGCAAACAGTTTGCGGCAGTGAAAACATTCTTTTTTAGCTGTACAAATCTATTGTCATGATTCACTTAAAAAATAGTTAATTGTGCAGCTGACTTTCTTCAATATGCATTTGTAGGAGTTTCTCTTTCAGACAACATTTATTGAAGGAGATTAGGCATGTCTTTTTAGTAAATCACACACACCTTATGTGCTGCACTGGAAATTAGAAAATGAGCTGCTGTGTTTGTATCCTTTTTTTTTTTTTTTTGCTCATTGTCAGCAGATCACATGGCATTATGAACTGTAAAAAGGGATTGGTCCTTTTACCTAAAAAAACTCAAATGTTACTCTATGTAACTGTTTTTATTTATTTATTATGTTTATAATTGTGCAAATAATTTATTTAATTAATATTAAAGCAATGGGTTTACTCACTATTTCTAAATTAAAGCCAACTAACTGCTTTTAGTGTTTTTACAGTTTACAGTCTAGTCTAATACTTTCATTTACTGTAATTTTGTTACCGTAGTGTATTTTCAAAAGGCTGTTCTGTGAATTCAACAGCAGTTATTCTGTTAGATTAGATGAGTTATTTACACCTCAACCCAAATGACAGCTTTTTTTTCTGCATTTAAGCCTTGCATGTACAAATATAAATCTTTGAGAGCAGCAACGCGGCTTCTTTAGGCGATGAAAATGTGTCACTTTATCACACTGAAACGTGTTAACATCCGAAATGTAAGAAATGTTCACTGTTCTAAAAACAGGCAAGTCTTTAAAGGCCTACATGCACAAGTCACAATTCCAGCTGATGTTTCTCAGCAGTGTTGGGGAAATATATTACAATGGTAAGTCAGTGAAAAAAAAAAGTAACTGGTTACTTTTTAAGCAAAGTAATGTAAAAGCAAGTTATTTATATTTTTTAAGTATAAGATTAGCTTAAAATGTTATACCATCAATATTTTTCCCTAACACTGTTTCTCAGGCCATGCACAAAAGAAGACTGTAATAAATGATCAAGCAAAAAATAAAAATTACTGAAAATTGCATAACACTTGCTGACAATCATGTGTTTTTGAGGACGCTCTCCTCAAGTCATCAGACTCTATAACTGTCATGCCACAAGAAACTGCTGCCACAGCACTGAGCATGCGATCGCATAAAACGGCCATGTTTATTGACACTTTTGTAAAGGCTTTTACAGGAAAGTGGTTAAACTGAAAAAAGGGAGAAAAAGGGTGGTTTGTCTTCTGTAGCCAATCAAAAAATAATAATTTCTTAAAGGGGCAAACAATACTGACCTAAAGATGATTTTTACAAATTTAAACTACTTTTATTCTAGCCAAACTTAATAAAATATGACTTTATTGCCCAGAAGAAAAGATAAATAAAGTTTCAAAGTATATATATATATATATATATATATATATGATTTGATGATTCTGGAATTTTCTTTTAAAATGAGCATTTTTCTCAGCCACTAATGTTTATGTTCAGTTATTTCATTTTAAAAGCGATGAAAACAACATATTCATTGCCATAAAAGTAAAATTACTGAATCAAGACATAAGAGCCTGAGAAAAATGCTAATTTTAGAAGAAAATTTCAGATGGCACTTAGATGTTTTTGCATCTGAACCCTGTAAATATGTAAAGTACCACTTCTTAATGTTGAACAATGCTGAAGTCTTCGAATGACACATTTCAGACCACCTGATTTCACAGCCGTGCCTTCCTCAAGTATAGATCATTATTTGTGCCATTTTTTTGTAAATTTAGCAAGAATTCCACTTCTCAAAATGAAGCTTTACAGATTAAATATTAGGCATTGTAGTGAGTAATGTATTCTTTACTTTTAGATCAATGTTATATTACGGGTGATCAAAATTGTTCATGACATAAATATGATGGTATTATCAAGATCATATTCAACAACCCAAGATTCCCAAACTAGGGTAAATTAAGGGTTGTTTTGAGCTTGATAAACATTAACAAACTAAATTCTACATTTTTAAAATTAGAATTGATATATTATTTTAAAATAAAAATAAAGTAAAATGTTTGAAAACCCAACATTTGTATATTTTATTTATCTATGTAAGCATGTAAGTATTATAAATATTCAAAGCTAAATGACAATGGGTTTTTTAGACAGGAAAATTTTAAAGAGAACAATGTCCTCCCTAAAGCTGCCAAACATTTTAGGCAGACAGAAAAGTATGAGTCAGTAGAAACAGTTTATGTATAGGACTTGCAGTGTATACAGCAGATACCCAAAAAGGCTGGGGAAAATACAAAATTCATGTTTACTTTTGTCATAAATATCCCTTTCAGTTAATAGTTCATGCAAGCTGAAATGGCCGAAAGCACAATGTTTCTCTTTATTTAATAAAGGTATAAGATGCTATTGTGAGTATACAGGAATAATTGATGAGCCTTGCCCTTTACTGTTAAAATGATGGTGCTTTTAACCTGGAATTCTCAAAATCTATTGATTTAACACAGACACACACATATTACCTGCTACCAAGCAATGTTATATGTTTCTTTTGGAGAAAGGTTCTGTACTAAGTTAGTGCTTTTTTAACTGTACTATTTTTTTATTATTGTTCTTTACAGAACCAGAATACTTTCCATGGACTATGTAGCTGAATTTGAAGATTTTAGTGAGAAACTTCATTTCTTTAGACTTGAATGTGATAGTTTTGATATTGTTGACTAACTAATATTATACAGTAGTATTAGCAGACTGTTGGTATGGTTAGTAGTGTAAGATGACACAAATAGTACTGAAAATTAACCTCTAAAACATAGAATCAAATGTCTAAAAGGGACCACCAAAATAAACCCTTACCCTGTGTGTCCTCTGATAATTATGTGTTGACAGATGACTTACTTGCCCCGGACATCGGTGTGTTACCCTCACAACGTCCAGCCATCTCCTCTCCAGCGCAGCTCAGATGAGGAAGATCCCAGCAGTCGTAGTCCTCCATTAGAGGTGTCAGATGAGGAGTGTATGAGAGACCACATCAGCTCTACAACAGGAGGAGAGCATGGTAAGGAGAAAGACCAGTTGCATTTCACTTCAAACAATCATGATCTGTGGAACGTAGGCAGGGGCAGGTATAAGTTTCTGACGGTACAATAACCTTGGATAAAAAATGTCACGGTTTCACTGTATTGAGATTACTGCTCTAAAATATATTCTTTTTAAATATCTGGGTAAAAAAAACTAAAACTTTTCCCCCTTTGAACACAATATATTTTTATTTTGGAACAGTGAACATGTCAAGCTAAATAATTCAAATCAATCATTGACTTCTGTCTTCATCAGTTTCAAAAACACAGATTTCTTTACAATTTAAAATATCATCTTTGGATATCTTTTTTTACTGGTGATACTGTTGTGCTAAAAAACATAAATAAAAAATCTTACATATACCTTAGGAATGATATGGCAGAAAATGTTGACGGTTTTAAAACCTTGACTTTTCCAAACTGCAGTATACCTTGAAAAGGGTTATCATATGCCTAGTGAAAAGGGGATTGGACATGCAAACCCAACCATGATTTAAAGGCCCTAATATACTTGATAGTTTGTGAAGTTTTTTTTGCCGTAAGAAGTCAAGTAAAGGTAAAAGTGTAGACCAGGGGTTCTCAAAGTCTTTATTCAACAGTCCGTATCTGAATTTTCATCAGTGTCAAAGGTCCAGAAAATTTGGCTAAAACAAAACTTGATTTTAATAAACATGTATATACATAAATCAATTCTTAAAAAATTAAATGCCTTTCCCATTTAATAATACAGTAATAATGTGCAGCAAAATAAAAAGTGACACTTTATTTAACTGTAACGGATGTTTCTTTAAAATAATAGAGGTAGGTCAAAAGCAACAGTGCAAAATACAGGGAATTTTCTTTGACATCCTCACTCATTGAAAAGCTGACTGTGGTGAAGTGTCGTCTGATTATGGCAAATGTCATGCGCTGACTGGTTGTTATGAAAACAGTGGCACACAGGAAAAGTAACGCCTTTGGTTTCGTACCATTGAATTCTCCCTGGAGTTTGCACTTTGAGAAGAACTGCAGGATACACACTCCAGTCATGTAAAGAATTGTCACATTAACTTGTATAAACTCTTGTAAATAAAGATCCTTTATTTGTATTGATGGTTCCATATAGAGCGTTTACCACCCACATAATCATTTCCTGACACAAAAGGTTCTTAAGATTATTAAAATCTATGGAAAAAAAAGTTTCCCTGTTGCCTAACTGTGAAAACCTCTTACTGGTTCTTCTAGCATCATTATGTTTAGGAGTGTAGCACCTTTAAAGAATTACACTTCTATTTCTACCAAAAAAGCTGATGATTAATGTTCATATTTTTACTTGTTTCATCTACCTTCAATGAACTGAATTAGAGATTTCTTCCCAACCACCTACAAATTACATCATCACCATGGACCAACTGTAGCTTGTCGATGTTTACAAAAGTATGTTGTAGATGTTTTCTAAAAAATGTAATTTCAAAGTACACTTTACATTACAGCACACAGTTTTAATGTATTTACTAACATGGTCATAGAATGAACATTGCTTGTATTGTATAAACAGTTGAAGCCATAATTATTAGCCCCCCTGTTTATTTTTTCCCCTAATTTCTGTTACATATCTGCACATTTCTAAACATAATAGTTTTAATAACTCATTTTTAATAACTGATTTATTTTATATTTGCCATGATGACAGTAAATAATATTTGACTAGATATTTTTCAAGACACTTCTATACAGCTTAAAGTGACATTTAAAGGTTTAACTAGGTTAATTAGGTTAACTAGGCAGGTTAGGGTAATTAGGCAAGTTATTGTATAACGATGGTTTGTTCGGTAGATCATCAAATAATATATAGCTTAAAGGGGCTAATAATTTAACCTTAAAATGGGTTTAAAAAAATTAAAAACTGCTTTGTTCTGCCTAAATAAATCAAATAAGACTTTCTCCAGAAGAAAAAATATTACCAGACATACTGTGAAAATTTCCTTGCTCTGTTAAGAATGATTTGGGAAATATTTAAAAAAGAAAAATAAATCAAAGGGGGGCTAATAATTTTGACTTTAACTGTGTGTGTGTGTATGTATATGTATATATATATATATATACACACACACACACACACACGTACATATATTGAGAGTAGCCTATATATAAATATATATTTTTTTCGCACTGCAAATGTTGGCTGCTGTAGCATATATATATATATATATATATATATATATATATATATATATATATATATATATATATATATATGCTACATTGACTTTAAATGGCTAACCCTTTCAATGTATATATAGGCTATAAAGGCTTTCAATGACTAACCTTTACAACGATGAATAAATATTATAGTAATTGTATTGTTTATCGTTTGTTCTTGTTCATGTTAGTAAAAACATTAACTCCATGTCCTGTATTGTCAATTGTGAACTTTTAAACTCATGAAACAAACCTGGTTTTGTTCAAAATGACTCCACACCAATAGGTTTTCTTGAAGTATGTTGGGGCCTTGATGCTTTGTGAAGCAGTATTGTCAGTAATTGTTGACTACTGTGATTGGTTACACTTCGAAGGATCCCTTTGTGTCGAGTTATGTCTAGAGTATTAGACTTGGGTTTGTAGGACCATCAAATTAAAGTTTTATTAGATATTTATCAGACTGTCTACTAATATTGACCACTAGCTGACTAGAATGTCTGCAGGGGACCATCAGAATAAAGTTTGTACCTGTGAACTTCTAGATGTAAGTCTTCATTTCCTTTGTTTTTAAAGGTAACAAGAAGAAAATTCGCTTGTATCAGTTCCTGCTTGACCTTCTGCGAAATGGAGACATGAAGGACAGCATCTGGTGGGTGGATCGAGAAAAAGGAACATTCCAGTTCTCATCCAAGCACAAAGAGGTTTTAGCCAACCGATGGGGCATCCAGAAGGGCAATCGCAAAAAGATGACCTACCAGAAGATGGCAAGAGCACTGAGAAACTACGGAAAGACGGGAGAAGTCAAGAAGATCAAGAAAAAACTCACCTACCAGTTCAGTGGAGAGGTTCTCGGGAAGAGCCACACAGACAGAAAGCATTACATGTAAACATATTTGTAAAAAGACTGTAAAAAAAACAAGAAAGAAGCTATTTTTTCCTCTATGAAAACAACAAATAAGACTCTTTTAAGCCTTTGCATTAACACCTTCGCATTAATGAAGTCAATATAAGTACATATTTAAAATGGCAGACACGATGACCAAACTAGGTAAATTTAAAAAACTAGTAAAGACAGTTCAACACCACGCATGATGGAAAAAAAATCACAAAAATACAAAAAGCAGAAGTGAAAACCAATGACACAGCCTCACGGAAAACTCTGTCACGTCTGGGTAGAGCACACACACACACACACACACATACACACACACACACACACACGCACACAGATAGATCTCTGCCCATATTTGAACTGTCTTTAAGTAAACTTGTAATATTTAATAATTATTGGTCTGGTTTCTATAATTGCCAATACAAAGTGTGCAGCATGTTTTCTGTCAACCTTGTGTTCAAAAAGCTGGATTATCAGGACAATTTCTCAGCAATGCATTAGCATATATTAATAGAATGTTAAAATTAAACAAGAAGCTTAAAACTGTTGAAAAACACAAATAATATTTTACAACATTTTGTTTTTTTGAGATTGAAAGACTTTAGACCCTGTGCTTCACTCATAAAACTGAGTGTTTATTATCCATCTGTGACAGAATTCTTAAAAACGTCCATTAACTTTTTTGTTTTCAAAGAAATTTGAAATGATACAGACAGACTACGTCAGATATGTTTCAACATGTGTTGTTCTAGAATGGTCGTGCTTTTCAACATTAGGAATAAGCTAAAAAATTTTTTAAATTAAGATAAAATACTCAACAAAATATATCAAACTAAGCATTTCTTCTGAGCAGTGTAAACCGCACCGTTTACACTGACAGCAAACAGGCCGTCGGCGCCCCCTGTCAGTCAGCGAGAGCAAAATCCCATAGCACATCATGAAAGTTCACTGATTACAGTATGCAACATAAAAGACAAAAGAAAAACAGTAAATAGTGGTTGCTGTGGAAAACATCGTTCACAGATTCATTCAGTGATTTCTGTACTTTCAGAGTGTGTCATTATGCAGACAGGCTCTACAATTAGAGTCTGTTTTTTAGAATATGACGCTGCTTTTCATTTGAATAAAAACAATCAAGTATTCTTCTGTGTGCTGGAGGGCTTGACAAGAGGAACATACCACTGCAGGTAAAAAGGGAGATATAAATCATCAAACACTATCATAGGCTTTAAGTTACAGTATGTTAAATTAAAGTAGAATGTGTTTACCTCCTCTGTCATCCCTGCTGACTTCCGTCCTTCTGTGTTGAAAGGAGGCTTCAGAAATCCTTTAAAATGCAGCTTCACTAATTCATGAAATGTTTTCAGGGAGTCCTGGAATGTATTGAAGAAAAGTTCATTTCAGGGATGAGGACACAGACTAAGCTCATACTGTTCTCTATTTTCAAAAAGGCTATTTGCTAAATGTATTTTAAAATTTAAATAAAAAAATATTTCAAGATAAAATCATTCACACAAACAACAAAGACAATTTATCAATGTTGTTACCAAATATTAGCAACACTTGAAAAAAAAAAAAACAGTTTGAAAATAAAACGTTGTACCGTTGGTACAGAGTTTAAGGTTAAAATAACTCGGTCACACTTTATTTTGATGGTCCGTTTGTTGAATTTAAGTTACATTTCAACTAATTCTCATTAGATTATAAGTAAACTGTTCATTTGGGGTTAAAGATAGGGTTTGTATAAGTTGCATTTTAAATTATTTCTGTAGCAGACAGTCTACTAATACTCAAATAAACCATCAAAATAAAGTGTCACCAATAACTCTGTTCCCAATTAGTATAATATGAAAGTAACAGTTTTTGTTACTTTCTGATCGCAATGTAAAAAAAAGTTCACAATACTTCTGTACTTTAGCCTTGTTTTTTTTCAGAAAAGATTGTTAAATCAATATACTTGGGAAGCAAATTTGCCTTCTTTTAGTGATATTGATGAAAGGTACCATGAAGTGCTTTTAAATAAGTAGTTTTATTCCATGTTTGACGTAATCTTTACTAAAAAATTAGGAGAAGGTGGGACATAGAGTAGCCCCTCCCCTTTTGAATAAGTAGCCAATAGCTTTTTTTGTTTTAACACAGCTCTACCAGTGAGTGGTTGAGATCAAGCATATTAAATGAAAAGCAAATGACAAGCGTTTTGAAGGGGGAGGGACATGTCAGACGTTAGATAGCATTTGATTGGTCAAGATATGATGAGAAACTATGTATGCACTGTAAAAAATTTCCAGGTTTTCACAACAAGTTACTGTAATTTTTCACAGTAAATTACATAAGTATCCCTTCACAGTATTTAACTGAAAAATTCACAGTAATATGTTGTATTCATAATTTTATTGTGAAATTACAGCAGGTAGCATGATTACAGCAAATTACTGTGAAAAGGGCTATATCTTTTGCACGTTAGTTATAGAAATTCAAATCTTTTTTAATTCAACGTAGAAATTAATACAAATGAACTTTTAACAGAAAATAACAGAATGTTATAGCCCCCAAAACGATTTGGTTACCAACATCTTTTTGGTTGTACTGCACCTTTATTTAATTTTATACAGTTAACATAGAATAGGAAATAATATTTAATGAACATAACTGTGTGCTTAGCCAAAACATAATAAACTGGAATAAAAAGTAATTAATTAATGAAACCAAAGACTGTTAAACAGCCAACAATTATTTCAATGTCAGGGTAAATGTCTGCTTTAGACGGTTTCATGAGTATTGGGCACCTGTCATCGCCTGGAGGTCACTAATCTTTAATTTAGAATTAAATATATATATATATATATAAAAATTTTATCTATATAAATAAACCACAGATTAGAGTTTTAACTACATTCTAGCATGAAAAACAGTTAAAACTTCATTTTCTGACGCATATAGAGCCATCGAAGACGGGGCAATTGTCCCAATGTCTAGCCTGAAGACAGGCGCCTCTCGGCGGATACATGAGTAATGAGCGCCGTTACCGCCTGGAAGTCAAAGATCTCCGCTACCGGCAAAACACACTTAAAATTACACACAATCTTTACTAACAATCCACAGATTTGAGTTTTGAAGAACTACATTCTCGCATGAAAAAGTGTTAAAACTTTATTTCATTACATATTACAAGCAATATTTATAATATTATGTGCCTTCTCATCCACCATTACAGCTTGATGCAGCTTGGTGCGAAATGAATCCTGGGAGGAAAAAATAATAATTCTTAATACACTCCAAACGAACTTTATTCTTATTGTTAAAATCAGAGATATGTAATATTTTGAATGGCGAAGAAAATAATTAACTTTATATTTCAATCAATATATTACTTTTGCACTGCTTCGGTTCAGGACTCGTGTGACATTGAATCAGATTCAGATATTTTATCAGACGTGTTCATGAGCTCATAGTCATCAACAAGCAATTCGTGTACAAGCAGTACACGAACCAAGCAATATGATGAAATATTAATGAATTATATGTTTGCGTCTTACAATATTATACAAAACGGAATCGTTTTCAGGCGAATTCGACTCTTTACTGTTCACTTAAAGGAGCCGAATTCAACTCTTTACTGTTCACTTAAAGGAGCCGATTCATTGAACAGAACTGACTCGACTCAACCGCTAACAAGCGCCATCACCACAGACAACGCGTCGTCTCTTCACCCAACGGATTCATCCTCGGTAAGTGTTAATATATGACTTTTGTCCGTTAAATGATTGTTGTATGTGTATTTCTGTATAGTGCATGTCATTTAACAGGAATTTACCGAGTACTTCAGTTGTACTCGCACGTACAGGGTTTAAGCGCGCCTTTTTTTAAAACAAGAAATTAACGACGCCAGATGGTGATTGTAGTGTTTTCTGAGGTATTAGCATAACGTTAACGTTAGTTCCTGAAAAAAGAAAGGGAATTTTCTTTAATTAACTTCTTGTTAACTGCATTTTCTGTTTCAGTACAAGACTGAAGTAAAGGTGAAATGACTAAAGTTAAGGTAAGCTCTGACCTTCTCTTAAGTTAACGTTACGGTTAGTCACCATCATGTACGTTAATTTTGTTCACTGTAACGTTAACGTTAAGTTATTTAAATAAACTAAACTCATTATGAAACAAGTCTTAACTGTTTTATTAAACGAGGCTTATAATACAATTCAGTTGTATTATTTTAAACTAACACTAACACAGTACATATTGTATATTTCTCACTGGTGTTAATGCAGTGCTAACATTTACTAATGAGAACTAATTGTATATTGTCACTAACTGTAGATTTTATTTTTTGGTGTTCAGGTGTACCTGATAATAGCTGAAGTGTGAGGTGAGTGTAAATTCTGAGCACACAAATATAACCAAAATTCATTATCACAATCTAAACCTATATATATATATATATATATATATATATATATATATATATATATATAGAGAGAGAGAGAGAGAGAGAGAGAGAGAGAGAGAGAGAGAGTATGTGTGTGCGTGTGTTAGGTTGAGTCTTATTCTAATCTTATTATATTCATATTTTTTTGCAGCCATTGATGTTGAAACACTGATGCTACCAATCAACCCTCGCTTGATTATTAAAGGTAATGTTGATGCCTTCCTCATTTTTATTAGATTTTTAAATGTCAGGTTTTTCACAGATTTGTTGTGAGCAGTTTCTTGTACAAACTCTTTTTTTTCTTCCAGAAGTTCCACCAGTACCTCCAGTAGTAGTAAATATTAGACAAAGATTTTTTTAAACTATAGTTTTTATTTTTATTAGCAATTTTACTGGGCATGTGTGTTTGTTTGCTTGGTTTTTAATAGGCAGAGCATGGAATGTCAACTTTGTTTCTACAAAAAATGTAATTATTCACAAACACCTCTAATTTAGTCCTTCTTTCCCCCTTTTAGTCTTATTCCTTGGACTCGGAGGGTCGAGTGGTCATGGGACCTCACCTGGATTTCACAACTGACTTTGAATCTGGTCTGAAACTGAAGTATGCTGAAGATGCCTTTTGCACTCTGGAATTTAAGGTAATGTCTACAATAAATATTGTAACTGAGGACTTGTTTTGGGGGGGTTAAACAAGTAATGTATAGGAGCACAAGTCATGACTCCCCTTGTCCCCTTGTTATAAAGGGCCGTGTTGCAGACACAATTTTTTTGTCTGTGCTGGAGACCAGAGGGGAAGCTGTCTTTAAAAGGATGGGGCTCTTATACCATATGTGAAGTTACCTATTCAGGTGAGTGGATTACATGCAAGTCATTGCAAATGCATAAATAGTGGGAATTTTTTACCGGGCAGCACAAATTAAGTGAAACTCAAAAAACGTTGAAAAATATTTGGAATATTTGCAAAAAACTTGATTGAAATGAATACAACACAAGTGCTATATCACTTCAATCAAGTTTTTTTTTGCAAAATTTTCCTAATATTCAAATCATGAAAAATTAGCTTGATGCAAGAAACATCCTGCTAGTATTCAAGAGCAAGTACTGTGATGCATGTGTTAACTTTGCAATAAGTGTGAACCCAGCATTAGATTATAGTCTGTAAACAGAAGGTGTAAATCAAATCAACTGTTTTAAAATGCTCTGCCTAGGTCATTAAAACCACTATTTGTTGTTGGACTGTTCTTGATTGTGTGTTTGTGATGGAAATGTTTTTCAGATGTTTTTGTTTAAATGATTGCAGTTTGACTGAGCTACAGTATTGTCAGCATGTTCAAACTGAGCTAACAGTAATTTTGCTCTGTAGTGCAGCAGTAGTGTCCCAGTAGTGTTGTATGAAGCTAACTGTTTGTCTGCTCTTTTGCTTATAGGTGCTTTTTGGGCACCAGTTTGGAGATGGAAGACAGACGAAGTCAAAGAAGCAGAGAAGACACATCAACCAGCAAGTGTGTAAAATTATCAGGAAAATAATTGACCTTGAATAGACGACTACCTAATTTAGCAAGAAGTTTTGTCTCTCTCTCTCTCTCTCATGTGTGTATATATGTATATATATATATATATATATATATATATATATATATATATATATATATATATATATATATATAAAATGAGAGAGAGAGCGCACTCTGAAGCACTGCTTTTTATATGTATGCTACATATGATGTCAGATTTTTTTGTTCTTATGTTCTTATAGTATTTTTTGAGGCTTCACCTTTTGAAAGTTTTCTGAAATGTTTACACAGATGTCATTAAGCTGTTAAATAAATCTGTAAAATGTATGTGTGTTTGTTTTTATTTTGATTTTAGATTCTTTTCAGATCACCCAATAATGAAGATTCTGTCGTCATTTACGCATCCTCAGGTTGTTTGGACACAAAGAGGAATATTTGATATTTTTATTCCTGTGTTTAACAAAAAAAAAAACATTTTTAACAGAGCTGGAACAACCTGAGGGTGAGTAAATCAAGATAGAATTTTCATTTTTGTGTGACCTAAAATTGCTTTACAGTTAAATCAGGTATTTAAACTGCAACCTACTGCTAAATCACAGTAATCGTTTTGCAAATTCACAGTAAAATATAGTTAATTCTACAAGATAATACTGTGAAATTACAGTAACGGACTTTATTATCTACTGTAAAGTTACAATATATGGTTGTAATTTCACAATAATTTAATGTGACAAAACCACAGTAAATTACTGTGAACTACCTCACAATAATTTACTGTGAATTTACATACAGTAATTTACTGTGAAAGTAATGCAATTATTAGCCAGTAATTTACTGTGAATTTAAGGTCAAATTTTTTACAGTGTGAGTAAAAAAGTATGAGGTGACATGAAAAAATCATTGACCTATTTAGATGGAAGTGACAAACTGCAAGTTTTACAAGTTTATATCAGTTTTATATCTCCTAAGCGTGAATTTTGGAGCACTTTTTTTGCATTTTTTTTTGGCATTTTTGGAGTTTTGGAGCACACCAATATATAAATGTTCTTAAAACTAACAGACTGAAACTAATATCTAATTATTTTTTTATTTTAATTTCATGGGGCTTTTAAAATTAAAGTTAATTTGATAATAATAACATAATAACAGTTTTTAAAAATGAATAAATATTGATATGTGCCCCTGGGCAAAAGATATGTCACAGGTATATTTTGTACATAGTATGGGTTAAAATTATACATTTTCTTTTATACAAAAAATCATAATAAAATTAAGTAAAGATCAAGTTACATGAAGATATGCACATATTCTACTGTAAATATATGAAAATAAAAATTTTGATTTTATCTCAATGTTTGATTTTGCGATTATCTTGGTAGTTTGCTTTTTATTTAACCCTCAGATTCAATGTTTCCAATAGCTGTCTCAGCCAATATTGCCTTTTCATAACAAAGTATAAAACATCAACAGAAAGCCTATTTATTTATTTTAAAAATTTATATCCAAATGTAATAAATCGACACTTATGACTAGTTTTTTGGTCTAGGGTTAATTATAATATTAATAAACACACTTTTCTAAAATAAAATTAAAATTAAAAATGCAAATAAAGCAGGCGACAAGGTGGCGCAGTAAGTAGTGCTGTCACCTCACAGCAAGAAGGTCACTGGTTCGAGCCTTGGCTGGTTCAGTGGGCATTTCTGTGTGGCGTTTGCATGTTCTCCCCGTGTTGGCGTAAGTTTCCTCTGGGTGCTCCGGTTTCCCCCACAGTCCAAAGACATGCGGTACAGGTGAATTGGATCAGCTAAATTGTCTGTAGTGTATGTGTGTAAATAAGAGTGTATGGGTGTTTCCCAGTGCTGGGTTGCAGTTGGAAGGTCATCCACTGCAAAAAACATGTGCTGGATAAGTTGGTGGTTCATTCTGCTGTGGTGACCCCAGATTAATAAAGGGACTTAGTCGAAAAGAAACTGAATGAATAATTGCAAATAAAGCAAAGTGCAAGAATGGAATAAATGTACTGAAAAACAAAAATACAGAGGAAGATAACCTTTTTTTTAGATGCATGCAACTTTAAATCCATGACTTTATAAACTTAAGATATTTTACTTTGATTCAAGGGCTTAAAGGGTGAAAAAGCTAATTAAGAAAGACCATTTTAGAAACTGTCAACAAGATCACTTCCAGAAAGCTTCATCAACCATTTGAAATGATCTGTTTATAGGTAAAGAAATCTGAGCTGTTAAATCTCTTACTTTTCCTTCTTTTGAGCAGATGTATGTAAACCATCTCAGCCCGGCAGCCACATGTGTGATCTCATCTGCATAAATCACCTCCAACACCTTCACCGAGCTCTGGTCTCCCTGCGCGGCGAAGCGAGACAGCGTCTGAGGATGAACATCTAAACCCCTGTTCAAAAACAAAGCAAATATATGACCAAATACATCGACATGCATACATGAAAATAACTGTCAGGCATGAAATGTCTTACCTGGCCTCATGAACCATGTGCACTATAGCTAATCTTGACAAAACGTCATGAGATGTATCTGTTGCAGACTGCCATAAACCTTTTAAAAGCATAAAGAGAAAGATTGAACATCTTACACCACCTTGTTTTAAGTAAAAGGGTCAAAATCATAAAAAACACTGACCATTGTGGACTGGCAGAGCACCAAAGAAGCTGCCAAGTTCTGTAATCCTTTGCTCTAGTAACTGATAATGCTGCGATGGAGAAAGTGATGTCAGGTTAATATAGATTATTTTGAATTTAGCCTAAATAAATTAAAAATCAACACACAAACCTTAGCTTCATCTCCCGCAACTTTGACAAAGTCATCGAAGAACTGGTGAGGTAATGGCTCTCCAGTGCTCAATCTAAAAGTAGAAAATCTCGCTATCACGTCCCAGGACAGGTCTATTGCCCACTGCTCTATATTAGCAAGAGAGTGCAGTAAGGCAATCCGACTCGCCTGGTGGAACACAAACAAATTTTACTTTAACACTTAAAGTAGAGTAAAGTGTACTGTTAGGAATGTTCCTCTGGTGTATAGTGTGTATATATGTGTTCACAAGGGTTAAGACTGGAATTATACTGTATGACTTTTTTTTTTTTTTTGGTTTGATTTTTTGGAACAGATCTAGAGTGGACAAGAAATATGATCACAAAAAAATCACAGTGTATGATGGTCACTTTTTTGGCTTCAATCTGTGCTTCAACAGAATCAGAAAATGTAAAGGATGTTTGATATTCTGAGTCAATTTTAGAACTACAGTGTGAGCAAAACTGACATTAAAAAGTTTTGATTTTTTCAATAACACAATGTTCATTTTGACAGCAATTTTAATTCAGTTTCAGTCTTATTCTTTATTAACTAAACTAAATTAACATGAAAATGCCATTTAATTTAAGCCATATTTTAGTCTTCTGTATTGTAGTTTTTGTCAACCACGTTTCATTTGCATTTAGTCAACTAAATCTACTCAATTTGCTCATCATACTGTATACCCCCTGGAGAACACCCTTAGAAACACCCTTATGGAAAATATTATTCTAAAACAATGACAATTTCCTCAACAAATAAAAATGAAATGTAAATGTTTAGGATGGCTATATGTGTAAAAAGAATGAAACGTGAGGTGAGAACAGCTGTAACTGATCTACCTGGAAGGACATGAGCAATTATTTGCTGCATACCTCATTAAATGTCCAAAAATGTTAATGTGTGGGAGACGAAAAAAAAAACAAGAGCAGGTATAAATAAATCCTAATTCTGAGAAAGAGCAAAAGACTTTTTTTAAGCAGATTTGTTGTTAATCAAAATGCCAGTCATGTCATGTTGTCAGTCATGGTTACTGATCACAGTAAGGGTGATCTTCGCCATCAGAGACGATTTGCTTTTTATTAATATGCCAGTAGTATTGACCACCTTTAATACACTTCTAAACTAAAAGCATCGGATACTGCCCTATACAGTAAACTTGCCATAATATGCTCTCATTTTAATTGTGCACATAACCATTCATTTAGTATTCACATATAAGAATTTCCTTGCCGTGATATTCCTACATCAGACAAACACACAGTTTTAATTGTTTATTTGTGGACGAACAGGCTGTGACATCAGTTCCCAAGTGTGATGATCTGCCACAATTATACATTTTTCCCTTAAAAATACTCCACCATTTGGTCATATAAGTATTATCATTAAAGCCAATTATCTGTGCATTCATTTTGCGTTTTTGTGACAGACGTTTAATAAATTCCGACTTCAATACAGAAGAATTACTTACATTTATAATACTTGCCAAACAAGAGATTGTTGTTGCAAGTTTACTGTATAGGGCAGATGCTTCTAGCTTAGACTGTCTAACTTAAATTAAAAATAATACTGGCTTATTACTAAAAAGCAAATCGTCTGAATGTAATCTGCGATTTCAGTGTGATCTGTAAACATCACTGATGCCATTCTGATGAACGATATCTTCGCTAAAGAATAAGTCTTTTGTGTAGAAGTGCATTCCAGGTGTGCTTCAAATTTATTTATAGCTGCTCTTAGCTTTTCTTCTCCCACACATAGTTTTTTTTTTTTTGCATGCAGCAAGTTGTTACTTATTTCCTGCCGAGCAGATCGGTATACATGTAGGCTACATTACACAAGATCTAAATCATAAGTGTCATTTTTTTTTAAATGGATATTTATACATGCATAGATTTATACATATCTAAGTTGAATAAACAATTGTCCTGTTGATGTATACTCTGTTAGGATAGGACAATTTTGGCTGAGGTACAACTATTTGGAGGGTTTAAAAAAATCTAAATATAAAGTAAATATCTTTTAAATTTGTCTACAATAAGGGTGCTTTATGTAAGCTCTAAAAGCATAAAAAACTATATGTCTGCAGATATTTAAGAGACATGCTAAGTCAGCATAGTGCACCTTTAAGAGCTTAGCAATGCACGATAACAATCAAAAAAAATTTTTTTAATATATTTACAGAAATAAATTTACTAACTATCTTCAAGGAGCATGAATTTTAAATAACAGTATAATACAGTATAATGTATTTTTGACCTTTGCCAATAACATACATGTGCAACATAAGGCTGGTTTAGTGGTCCAGTGTTTTAATTTGTTGACAAAATGTCATAGTTTTTGCCAATCAAAAGAATATTTTTTTCTGTTGTTGATGAAAAATATGACACAAAGTGCTCGTCAACATGTTTAGCACTGCAATGACGCTAATTAAATAATGTAATTGCACCTTGGGCTGGTTTAGGCTCGTCATGGATAAATAAACATGACACTAATACAGCCAGAAGTGACAAGTCCAATTTAAGTAATTAACTGAAACATCAAACAAATCTGACTCATTGAGAATGGATGCAAGTGACTTTATGAAATGGATCACTGAATTTTCCTAAATGGAAAAAAAATCTATGTTCAAAAAACAGATACATTCAGCTAATGTTCTGATCTAGTGTGTTTTTTTCAAAATATTTTGTTGACCAAAAAAAAAAACTGTCAATGTTGTGTTTAAAATGCAATTCACTCTATGTCAGGAATATTCAATTAGTTTGTCATGGGAGCCAGTTCATGAAAAGCTTCCCAAATAAAGGGACTTGCAGTGATGAGTCATGACAAAACAGCTTATAAGAGCCAATGTGTTGTATTTTTGCTCCTTAAGACACCCACGTTGAAATTTTCTAGATTAAAATGTTAATATGTCGTATTTTAAAAACTACAGTGCATAGTACAATGTGACTTTTTTTACAAACATATCCAAATGTTGTATTTCAAAGCACAACAAAATCAGTGTATTGCTCAAGTAGGCTTCTTCTACATTCAGACACATTCATATGTTATGTTTTAAACTGCGTAACAATTAGTGATGCAACATTTATAGATTTTGGTTGCACGATTATATAGTCTGAAGAATATTAATAGTTTCATTGTTATCACGTCTAATGTAAATGTAAGCTTTATATTAGGTATTTAATTGTGTTGTTGTTTTTTATCGGCGTTCGTACATACATAATCATTTTAATGATTCTAACATATCACTTGTTTACATAGCACTGAAAGCCACGCACAACTCTCACCACTACAGCGTAAGATGTTTTCTACTGAGTGCGTCTAGGACGCGTCAGTGCATTGCTCCGCTTGCGCGCACATATTGGCATATATTCTTACATTGAAAAAAATGAACTTGTGCGCGGAAAAGACACAATATGTAAATGGCCTGCTGCTATAGTTAAACCAGTGTGCGTGTGTATTAGCCTCGGTAAGCTCTGAACTTTAAACTAGTGCACAGGTGGCATAACTTTGTTTAGTTGCAGCAGTTTCATTCCGTGCAACAGAAATGCGGCGTTAAGAAGCCTATTGGCTTAAGTATCCAAATGTTTTCGGCTGCTTGTGCCACTCGCTTAATGTCAGGTGACTCATGTTCTGCGCAGCCTTCAACTGCTGCTTGTGCTGTATTGACCAGACGCACGTCACTTCATAACTATAGCGGCCGTTTTTCCACTGAATTATATTTAATATGTTTAATAAATTTAATATTAATATTAAATCTTTGATGTCTTGGTCACACTATTTAGAGGGCCGGAACAAATTACCTCGGGGGCCAAGTTCGGCCCGTGGGCTGCCAATTGAATAGCCCTGCTCTATGTTATATACATGTTTTTTCAAATGTTGTATAAAATCATAAATACATGTTAATATTTGGGAAAATACCACTTGTCTCAGTGTTATTGTTTCACAGCATATTAACAATAAAACTACAAAAATGAAATGAATATTTAATTAATATATATAATTGTGTATTCTAGTCTTTATGTCACCATTCTTTATTTCACTTCTCAGAGCAGATGTGTTATAGTGTCTAAAAAGAACAAAGTTTACCAAAGTGCCGCCTTTGCCCCGTTTGATTTTTCCAGGCTCCACGACAGTCAGATTGTCTTTTCTGCTGGGCTGTGCAGGAGGGCTAGCCTTCCCGGTTTCTGTTATTTTCCCACTGTTCCAGTTATCTTGTACCATCTTGGTCAGTGAAACCTACAAATCACAGAAAAACAAACAAGCAGAAGTCTTGTGATGATTAATCAGAAGAGCAGTCTGATGAAACTGCTGTGGTGGATGATACGGTTTATTTAAAGGATATTTCCAAACCTTTTCCTGTGGGTCTGGTGTGTGAAGGATTTTGGTGGCCCACATGCAAAGGGTGTTTTCAGCAGAGTTTATTTCCATGGGCAAACTGTCTACAAGGAAAATCACATACATGTATTGTGTACAACAATAATATAAATTAACAATAAATATTTAGCATAAATTAGCAGACCCCAATTTAAAAATGCATATTTTTATTGGTTTCTCAGTAAATAAAGGCAATGTATTTTGGTGCATTTGAACTAAACAGATTTATTAAACAGATATATTTATTACAATATTTTTTGCCATCAAACATAGGAATAGAAAAATAATGCATATAAATTTAAGCAAAATATTGCCAAAAAAACACAAAATGTCAACTAATTTTTAAATATTTTTAACTTTTTTTTTTTAATTTTTCCTCTTTTTAAATTTTTTTAAAAATTATTTTTCTATAACATAATTTAGGGTGTACTAGTTTTTGGAAGGGTATCGTAAGTTTTTTTTGTTAGATTAGCTCCAGATTTGGCTTCAGTACTGACTAATCTAATGTATATGTGTGCATTGACGTAACTTCCTATTTAAAATATTCATTCAAAAGATAGATTTTTGAGGGCTGTACTTATATATGCTGAGCACTGTATATGCTCTCCAACTGCTTACCTTGGTGGGTTATCTTTGTCACTGGGATGGGACAGAGGGACAGTGTGTTTTGAGTGTTTATATACACTTTTCCATCCAGGACACGCACATCATACACTTGATTCTGGCAAAAATAATCAAAAGTACATCAAGAATGCTGACTGACAGTTTGATCACTTTACATTCCATGGATATTTCACCCCAAAATTGAAACTATTTAATCATATTGATGAGTATAATTAACTTTCTACTGCAGAATACAAAATGTACAGTATAATGTTGTCACCTAAACAATAATAGCGAGCACCAACATTTTTAAGTGGGAAAAACCCACTGAGAGAACATTCTTTTCTTTTTTTAAGTTTGACAGAAATCATTAAATTCATACAGGTTTGAATGTGGCATGAGGGGTGAGTGACAATGTTTTCAATTTTGGATGAAATATCCTTTTAATATAAAATCTTACCTGTAGGCCAGAGGAAGAGGAACCAGTTTCAAGGCTGAAATCGAAGTAATGCCATGGGCAAATCAATGCCAGTTTCCCATTGCCCAGATCCTCAATATCCCCTTGCTCAAGTGGGCCACCTGTTGAGCAATAACTCATAATATTCATATCCTACGACAATTAACTAAAAGTTATTTTACTGTATTAAAGTTTTCTTTCATGTTTTCACAAAGAAATCATATTTAACAGTTTTGCACTTTATCAAAAGATTTTTACTCTTAACCTAAACATAACTGTTTTACATACTGCAATTCATTCGTATGAAAATATCAGATTTTTTAAAAGGAAAGTGTGACCCCAAACTCCACTCCTAACCCTCATTCAGGGATGAGCAAATCATGCAAAATGTACAAATGAGATTGAACAAATAAATATGAACTATTTATTTCACTAAATCAGAAAGTTATAAAGATAAATCTATAAATATCTATCCATCTATCTATCTATCTATAATAACTATATATATGTATATATATGTATATATATATATATATATATATATATATATATATATATATATATATATATATATATATATATATATAAAACTCAACATGTATGAATGTGTTTTGAGAAAAAGAAAACAATGCCCATGCAGTAGATATCAGTGGTCATCAATACTGTTCGGAAACCCAAAATTTTCAAAATCTCTTCTTTTGTGTTCCAACAGGTTAGATGCAACATGAGGGTGACTGAATAAAGATATAATTTTCATTTTATTTGCAATATCTGTCGAGTGAGCATCACTCAATTCGGAGAAAGGCAAACCAAAAGCATAAATAAAAAATAATAAATATTAATGAATAATGCAATACAGAAAAATGGCATCCAAGCTATGCTGGCACTAATGGTTAAACTGATGGCACTAATGGTTATACAAGTGGAAATGGAAGCAAAGCAGGAGGGTTCGGACAGACATAAATAGACACCAGGTGGCCATGTTTTTGTATTGGAGGGCACAACAATTTAAAATACTTGTTAAAATGTATTTATCGTATTAAACAACAAATGAAATTGCATTTCAAAAACAAAGTCAAGTAGCTAATTAATAGCAAATTAAATCAAAAGACAGTAAAATCAAAACCAGTGTCTTGACTTTCTAGACTTAGTCAGAGCAAGAACTAGATAGATTAACCAGGGTTAGGTAATAACTAACCTTCATGTGGGCACGATGAGTCCATAGCCCAGAATCGATCATCCTCTGTATGCACCAGCACTATATGCTCTCCGTCATCTGAGTAAAACCTTTAGGAGTTTTCACATTTTAAGGAAATATCGGAGTGTTACACTTATGATATATTTTCAGTGAGGATATAAACACATTTCATTTTCAATTATCTCAGTTTCTACACTCAAAAATAACGACCTTTGTTGCTTAATCAAAATTCTTTAAAATAAAATGAAACAACACAGTTCTTACGTTTTTTGGGGGGACAACTTAATTGTTTTATGTTAAATCCACTTTAACATGTAAAACATTTAAGTTAACCTAATCGGGTTGTGTTGGGACAACATGAAGGAATTGTTTGTACCCCGGCATTTTTACAGTGTATTTCAAACCATATTTTCAGCATGACAACTATTCAAAACAGATACATTTAATACTTTTCGATTAATTACACTTGAAATAATAAGTAGATTTGTTTTCTTAGACTCGGCTATTCTTTAAAACAGTTTAACAACATCATGTGGCCGAGACTGTGCATTTAGACAATGACATGCCCTTACTTCGTGCATGGTGACTTAAATTCAGATTTGTCTCCCACACACTGCCAGTTTCCTGCCTTGACAATGTCTTTAAGCGCATCAACTAAATCTTTCTCGAAATGCTCCATTCAGAACTTATTTATGCCTTCCACCATAGGCTACACAATCACCTGGGAAAAGGTTTGTTAAACTTCCGGTTAAGGCTTTCTTCAAAATAAAGGTTTATAAACTACGACCCTCTTTACTTTTTAAATGTTTTTTATTCATTCGTTTTTGCAAGCATTAACAATGATTATAATTCATAAATTGTTATTTTATTATATGTATATATTGAACGAGCAATGAAATCTGCAAAAGCTGTATTTTGTTCATGGAGAAACAAACAGAACGGATCTCTCTGGCCGTCTGGTGGCTGCCAAACAAATAACAACGCATGCGCACACAACACGGAATCTGCTTTTTGCCGCTCTCGTTTGTAAAATGATTCTGATTTGCGTTCATCAATAACGTTTTTATCAGAAATCCAGAACCATGCCGATCTCCTGTTCAGCTGTCGATTGCTCGAATCGGTTCGTCAAAGGATCAGAGATTCGATTCTACAGGTAAGCACTAAAACAACGGCGTTTTTTTGTGTTAGGCATTATTGTTTACATGAATACGAGCTGCTGCACAAGTTACATCTAAATAAGAGACCTCAGTGGCGGACAGAGGTTTCACAGTCAACACGTGATTTAATCTAACAAATCTTAAACTTTCTTATAAACAAAAACAGCGCAGTAACATTTATGTTAACCTTTACTTATTAACAAAGAGCATAACGTAGAGTCTAAGCTCTTTGTTATTAAGATTCAACCTGTTTATGTCACGTGCTAACTTACTGCTTTAATTTCATCATTTAATTGCAATAATAATTCATAGTTAATTGCAATAATAATTCATAGTTTCATATTATCATTATTAAATATGTTTTGAAATCCACAACATAGTTAACTGTTAAACTGAATGCTTGTGTTCTGTTGCCTCCAATAAATTTAGAAATGTAACAACTGATACGATTGGTCAGTTTGTTATGATAAATGGTTGAATTTTAAATCTAGGTGATTTGCACAGAGAACTTCTGAATGCAATAGATAAAATGCCTATAGAAAATGATCACACCTTGCAAACATTTACACCTTTACTCGCACCCTGCTTTCAAAAGACCTTCAGGATACAGTTGTAGAAAGCCACAGGTTAGGAGAAGGCTACAAACCATTTTAAAGGCTGGAAAAGTTATTCATAATGGAAATAAAGCAATTATTTCAAAGGAGTATGATAATTTTCTGTAGACAATGTATGTATTGATAAATAAATGATGAAACTGTTTTGGAAATAACAAACTAATGGAGTAAGGCCACCTTTGCCATCTCTCTCTCTCTCTCGCTTCAGGTTCCCGATCAGCAAGCCTCAGCTGGCTGAGCAATGGGTACGAAGCCTCGGGAGAAAAAACTTTGTTCCCACTCAGAACTCGTGTTTGTGCTCGGAGCATTTTCAGCCTGACTGCTTCCGTGACTATAATGGAAAACTGTTTCTCAGAGAGGATGCAGTGCCGACTATTTTCTCAAACTCTGGAGGAGATGGTTCAAAGGTGTGTGTGTGTGTGTCGCTGAAATCAGCAGTTAAATAAATCATTAGTTATTCTTCTTGTCCAACTCTATCTGGAAATTCAAGCCCTATTGTTATTTATTGATTGGTTACAGATCGAGCTGCGGAAAAACCGAGGAGGATTAGTGGCAAAGGATGCCAACGATTCTAGTCGATTTGCTTCACTTTCTGGACCGAAGGACAGAAGACAACCTATAAGAGACTCCAGCATGAAGGTAACACGTGCACTGCTGAATATGCAATAAATAACACTTACTTTATGTCAGTTCTCTGCAAGCCATTAACACGTCTCGCACCTTTTTTGGCGTTTAATGTCATGGAGAAAAATCTCATTTTCAGATTTTGCTGTGTGATAGATTCAAATCTTGTATGTTGAAGTTAACAGCATTGATTTCTGGAATGATTGGTTAAATTTGAAAAGGAACAGCTGTGATTCAGCTTTAAATTACATCAGTCAGCAGTTGTTTCTGTATTACAGGGCAGAGGCATGAATGATCGGAGACGTGGAGGAGGGAAACTCTCCTCAATCGACAGGTACTTATTTTTTTGGTACTCCTGAGCACATCTCTTTCACCACACACAACTACATTCATTCATTTTCTTGTCGGCTTAGTCCCTTTTTCAATCCAGGGTCGCCACAGCGGAATGAACCGCCAACTTACCCTGCAAGTTTTTATGCAGCGGATGCCCTTCCAGCCATGTTTTAAATTGCCCTTCCAATTTAAAACATTTCTAAGCTTGTCCGGTTTTGACCACTTGAGTGTTTTTGTGATGTACACACTCTTGTAGTTGAATATGTTCAGACAGCCACAAAAAAGCACCTCCCCACCATATAGTGGCATAACACATAGTGATTAAGTGATGTGCTTTGAGAAAGCTTACCAATACAATGTATTCATACTTTACTACATTCTAGTATAACACACAAGTGTGGATCTAAATCATAGTTGCCATTCACATCAGTTTCATATGGTCACTTCACTCATAAGCCATGTAACCTGGCTTCATAGATTTAGTTCTATTTGTGTGTTGCACTGATGAATCCTGTGAAAATGTTCATAACGGTTCTTAATATTACATTACTGCAAAGATACCAGGATATTTTTATGCAATTACCTTCCTGCATCATATAAACGGGTAAGGCCAGTGGTGTATTTGACCAAAGACTATAGAATACACAAGTCATGGCACTCGTATAGTTTTGAATAGGGAAAAGTGTAACGGTCAATATGGCAATTGAAGCACTGCCTGTAGGAGCCAATCAGCGGTCACTATAGACTGAGGATTCTCTAGGGGAGGGGCTATGGAGCTAATAATATGCCAAAACAATCTGAATTTGAATTGTGTTCATTTGAATTATTGACATTTGTGATTTAATAAATCTGAATTTGGATATGCTGTTAAAACTGTTTTAAATTTGAATGTCTTATTTTGAATTTTAGTTTCTTAATTTGAATTTAAACTTCATAACTTGAATACTGAACATCTAAAATTTAAGACAACTGAATTTTTCCAAGGCAGAATTTTTTACGGACGCATTTTCAAACTTCATCCAGTTTGTAAAAATACAGTTTCAAGTTTTCAAGATTGAAAAATTCAGAACATCTAGTTCAATATCCTAAAATTTTTAACCAGAAATTCAGATCGTGAAATTCAGATTCAGCAGAAAATAAGTCAGGGGTGATCAACAGGGAAGAGTAGAAAATAACCGAAAAGTCAAACTAAAGAAAAAAAAAAAAAAACGATTAAAATTCAGCTTTGAAAAATTCAGTTGTCTTAAATTTCAGATGTTCAATATCCATGTTAAGAAATTCAATTTTAAATGAAGAAATTCAAAATAAGAAATTAAAATTCAAAACAATTTTTAACACCCACAAAAATTCAGATTTATTATATTACAATTGTCAATATTTCAAATTACACAACTCAAATTCAGATTGTTTTGGCATATCATTAGCTCCAGATGTGATTTTCTGCAGATTTTGTGTGATTCGAACGTTTAGAAATGAAACTAAAAAGGCACTTGTTGTTTATTCCTAAACTTATTGGTGATTCTTAATATGTAATGTAATCGTAAGCTTGGCAAGCAATTTTGAAGAATTTGATGTTTCCCCATTCAAACATAGATGGTCACCGAGTGAACTGACTTGCCCTAAAGGGACTTTGATTAGTCCAAATTTGGAATGAATGATTAAGTGCAATACTGATGCAGACATTAATGATGATGGTATTTTTGTTAAAAGAAATATTGGTGCAAAATGAATAATTTGATAACAAGCTTGTACCAAAACACTGAACAAAAAGATTGCTTGCGAACATACAAACCATTCACAATTGCTAAATTGGGCTAAATTAAAAGGCTGCAAGTGATACTAAATCGTTAGCCTTAAAAGCCAGCTCTTCTAAGGGAGTCAAGCCGTAAAAGCTAAGTCTTTGAAAGTAGCCAAACTTGCCAACACTACATATGAACATAGTTTCAATACACTGTCTTCACTATGTCTACATGCCATGTGATTGGCTGATTAGACATTTGAACAGTTGAACCGGGTCTCTAATAAAGTAGCAGGTGATGTTTAAATTGTTTTGAATTAAATGAATTGCCATTGTATTCAACCAAGTCAAATGCAGTATGATTACTTGTGCTGTGTCCCAATTTTGCCTATCCATCCTAAATCATATTCAATTATGCATTTTGTAGTATACATGGTATAAGTAGTGCATTAACATTGAAAGTTCTACAAAGAATATGTGTACCTTAAATACCTGGAGGATGTACTTGTTTAACCGATTAAAAAGAAGTGTGAAAAATTGAACACTTTATTACTTTATTCATTTTGTATTTTATGAGCAAAATTCTTCTTCGTAAGTGATTATGCCACCCCCCGATGGGGAATACGGTTGTTCTAATGGCATATACTATTTGGTAAAATAGTTTTTTTTTTTTTTTATTTAATTAATTTGACCACCATTAAACATCGACTTGGAAATGGTTTGATTTCTGTTGAATAACCAAAACGTAAGTGTTCTATTTTGGATGACTGTACACAGTTGAGTGTATACGTGTATAGTTCATCATTTGGGATGCAACTTCAGACATTCAAATAAACATTAATACTGAATGATCTTGTACCTGATGTACTTTCTTTCTTGTCCCTCCAGACAGTCGCTGTCTCTGAAGAGTAAAGTGTATGACAGTAAAGGCATGCTGATCTCCTGTGGGAAGGATCTGTGTGACTGTCTGGACGTGGACTGTATGGGCTGCTTCTATCCATGTCCTGAATGTGGCTCTCGGAAGTGTGGTGTCGAATGCCGCTGCGACCGCAAGTGGCTGTATGAGCAGGTGGAGGTGGAGGGAGGAGAGATCATCCGCAATAAGTTTGCCAATTAGTCAACCTGTTGGAAGAGCGAGAAGATAATATTATTGCTGCTTTTCAGCATTAAGGACCGGCACTAACTCTGTAAATGGACATTCCTGGGGTACATGGCTCATTGGGTGTATTGTTTAATTTTTTAAATGTAAACATTTAATAAAGAATGCTATCTTACGTTTTTGGTTCTACCTTCGTGTGTTGTTTTTCTGTTTTTTTGTTTTGGCTATGCTGTAATGCTTTTGATTGTATGTTTACACAATAATAAAAATAAAAGCAAGAGTTCACAGTGCTCATGCAAAGGTTTTATTTAGATCAGGGGTCACCAATCTCGGTCCAGGAGGGCCGGTGTCCCTGCAGGGTTTAGCTCCAACTTGCCTCAACCCACCTGCCAGGATGTTTTAAGCATACCTAGTAAGACCTTGATTAGCTTGTTCAGGTGTGTTTGATTAGGGTTGGAGCTAAAATCTGCAGGACATCGGCCCTCCAGGAACAAGTTTGGTGACCACTGATTTAGATAATATAGGTCATTGTTTCTCAACCATGTTCCTGGAGGACCACCAGCTCTTCACAATTCCATGTCTCCTCAACCAAACACACCTGAATCAGATCATCAGCTCATTAGTAGAGACTGAAAGATCTGTAATGGGTGTGACAGACAAAGGAGACATCCGAAACATGCAGTGTTGGTGGACCTCCAGGAACAACATGGTTGAGAACCACTGATATAGATCATCACATGCTGCATTATATTTCGCAGGACATTCGTTCTTTCAACAAATTGTCCCTCCATAAACGTATTTGTTTTCTCTTTGTTCTATGAAGAAAATGTGATTATGTTTAGGTCAGTTTTTCATTCAAACCAGATGTTTATTTAGTTTTAGTGAAAAAGGCATTGATTAAAATATCAGATGGTTTGAATAGCTCTATTTGGAAAAAAATCTATCATTTTATATTGATTGGGATGATTCTGAAGGAGAAGATATCTGCATAAAATATAAATATAACAAGCATAGATAAAATACAATTAAACAAAGATACATATAAAAAAAACATTGCTTTATGGTTGTCTAAAGTAACCATATTCAGGTATAGTAATGTTATAATCAACTGTAAAATAACACTACAGTATTCATAAAAGGCTACTTTATTAAAGCTACAAACAGTACAGGGTTTTGTGCCAGATTGCTTAATCTAAGGTGTTCAAGACCTTTAAGCAGGTGTGAGTTGGAGGTGGTTGGAGCTAAACTGCAGAGCTGTGGCCCTCCGGGAATTGAGTTTAAGACCATTTCAACTCGGTTTAAATACTTCTCATTAGCTACGTTTCCATACACCTATTTTTTAAAGCGCATTTTAGATATGCACATTAAAAAATGGCGGATGGAATCTGCAAAATGTGCATCAATTTTGAAAATGCGCATAAAAAACATATGCTCTGTGTTTCACGCCTTAAAAGACCACCGCACGTTTATTACATGTCAGAATTGCCTTCTGAGGCGCAAGTCATTCATTAAATGAAAAAAAGATTCAAGCAGCTTCTCCTATAGCAGCAAATTTCGTTTTTACAGTTGATATTTGGCACCAGATAATCAGGAAGTGACGATTTTGTTCACTTTGACTCGTTGGATGGAAATGCTGCTTTATTCATATGTATTTTATGTGATAATCCAGTTTTGCACATAAAGTTAATTCGCATTTTTGGATGGAAACATAGATAGTGACAGTTACAGGCCTTAAAAGTCACATTATTATGGGTAAGCTTTAAAGTGACTCCACAAATCACCTGTTTGTAACTGTTGGTGATTTTAAATATAAAGACCATGTAAGCAACAGTGCACACACACCAATAGGCCCAAGTCTATTCTTCATTTATTTATTTATTTTTGTATGTATGTGAGTGCAGTAAATGTGCCAGAAAGTTTAACCTGGTGCCATCAAATCAGTCTGCTGCATCTAATGCTATTGCGGTGTCTTTAACATAATGTAATCACCCCAGGGGTCACAATCCAATGGGAAAAAAATTTGAAAGGCTGTGACTATAAACTACTATTTTTAATCTTCAGTAGGTTATGGATAAAATATGGTAATATTATAAAAAAAATGTTATGCTTGTTCTATTTTGAGTTTCCATAAGAAAATACAAACATAACTTACACAATCTCTCATACCGAAAGAGACTTACAGATCTTGCATATGCTTTGTATTTTCTTCCCTTTAACAACAAGTATAAACAGTAAAACATGGGGAGCTACAAATCCTTGAGAAGATTTCTTTTAAAGAAGAAAAGATATATATTTTGACACATAATATTACATTTAAACATTTCAATTCAAGACAAATCCGGGAATATTGGTGAAATATACTCAAACCATTTACTCCAAATTAGTAAAAAGTATCCAGTCTGTGTTCTTAATAATAAAGAACTTTTAATGATGAAGATTTTTTTTTAAAACTAAATAAGAAGAAGACTGAGGCAAATGTTTTGGACCTCTACCTGGCTCGGGAAAGCAGAATCAAATGTTTGACAAATTAGCTGACTGCGTTAAACCAGCTGTAAGAAATGTAGGTTTTATCCTGGATTCTGTCTTTCTATTTGACAAACAGGTAAATGCAGCGGTTAAATCTTGTTTTTTCCAGCTGAGATTATTAGCCAAAGTGAAAGGCTTTTTAAATTGTGCAGAACTCAAGAGATTAACCCATGCATTTATATCATCAAGCTTGCACTACTGTAACTCAATATATTTGGGTATTGGGTGTAACTCAATTTATTTTAGGATATTTTTAATGTATGTTTTTAAGGTGTTAACTGGCCTGGCTCCGACTTATCTGTCAAATCTTATCACTGTTAAAATATCTGGCAGAAGGTTTGTCGAACCAGAAAATGCTCGTCAATCCCAGATCATAATCAAAGAAAAAAAGGAGATCTAGCTTTCTCAGTAGTAGGTCCTAAAATGTTGAACGGGTTACCAATGTCCATTTGAACAATTTCAAATGAATCTTTGTTAAGAGGGAAACTTAAACTACACCTCCTAGACAGAGAGAAAATTGATCCGATGATGCTGTGTGGTATGTTGGATGTGTTATTTGTTGTTTTATCTCTATTTTTTGATCATTTGTTTTTAAGTTTGTACAGCAAAATGGTCAACAACTGTTGTTTTACTGTACTTTAAAAATAAACTACCTTAAACTAAAGAATATAGATGACATATATAGTTTGTACTGTATCAATCCATTCTTCAACTGTACATTTTTTTGCTATTACTTTTTTTTTTACTAGCTGCCAGAAAAATAAATAAAGGTTTCTTATCTTTATTTATCCATCCATCTAAATGTTTATTACTAAATTACAAGTGAAGGCAATCTCTACTTCAAAAATGGCATGTAAATGTATTTAATCTCTTTCCAGTATGGGGTTCATTTCTGACAATCCTAAAAAACATGACAGTGATTAGCTACTTTTTCTCCAGCAGCTAGTGCCCTTTCCTCTGTGTATTTTCTGTGACAGTGTGATGAAGAACCGTAGAACATTTTTCCAACAGAATACAGCTGGTACATTTTCATTGAGTTTTACAAATATTCCCCCAATCCTCATCTGTTTCCTTCCAGTTTCTATTTATCTCTAACATACAGTGTAATGTCTGGTACAGATTCATGAAATCCCTTATATAATTTTCAAATGATCTGTTTACATGATTGGGCCTTGTCCACTGAAAGAAACACTTTTATTATTCTCTGCAACTTTCAATATTTCTAGTTTAATATTACAATCAATATTCAGTCCTACTTGAAGGTATCTATAGAAGTCACTTTGATTAGACCCAAATTTTTCCTTTAGAAATTTAAAAGTTTGGATTTTACCCTTGTCAAAAAAAAGTGTAATAGTTAGAAATTCCTCACCAAATTCCTAATTGGTTAGGGATGAAATCAGTATAAATATGGTTATTCTAATGGTTTCATAAAATTAATTCAATTTTTGGAAATCACAGAGCTACCCCCCCTTCATAGTCCTGTGACCCCCACTTTTGGAACCAGTGACCTAAAGGTACAAAATTACATTTTTAAGGTACCAATGTGCACATGTGAGGTACAAACGTGGACCTTTGAAAAGGTACCACCCCCAATGGCAGGTTTTGTACCTTTATTTCTATATATTAGTGTTTTACCAAGCAAAAAAAGACATGCAATGTATAGTTGAAGTCAGAATTATTGAGAGGGATCTAGATGCAGACCTGGTGCATTACAATCTGAGCTGCATCCAATGCTTTTTAATGCGCTCACCTAACCCCACCACTAACCCTACCCGTCACAATGACGTCACTCACTCCACTGAGTGCATTGTGTCTGACATTGCATCGATGAGTGATGCAATCTCAGCTTGCATCATAAAGGCTGCATCCAGATACTATTGGAATTATTAGGGCCCTTTGATTTTTTTACTTTTTTTTTTTTTTACATATTTCCCAAATGATGTTTAACAGAGCAAAGACATTTTCACAGTATGTCTGATAATATTTTTTTTCTTCTGGCGAAAGTCTAATTTGTTTTATTTTGGCTAGAATAAAAGCAGTTTTTATTAAAAAAAAAACATTTTAAGGTCAAAATATAGGCCCCTTTAAGCAATATGTTTTCTCTGTTAGTCTACAGAACAAACCATGACTTGCCTAATTACCCTAAACTGCCTAGTTAACCTAATTAACCTAGTTAAGCCTTTAAATATCACTTTAAGCTGTATAGAAGTGTCTTAAAAATATCTAGTCAAATATTATTTACTGTCAACATGGCAAAGATAAAATAAATCAGTTATTAGAAATGAGTTAATAAAACTGTTATGTTTAGAAATGTGTTGGAAAAATCCTCTTTTCGTTAAACAAAAATTGGGGGGGGAAAACAGGGGGCAAATAATTCTGACTTAAAAACAGCTAAATAGTACTGGTTTGATTTTATAATTATTTCCTTTGAGTTTAGTACGTTGCTAGCCCTGATGAACTCGATAGACCAACTATGATGACATCCAGAAACCTGTAGTACCTCAGCAGTACCTCAGGGCAGTGTGGTGTTTGTCTGGTGCTCTCATCTATTAGATATTGTGTAAGATGGTTTTCTAATTGGCCCATTTGTCTCTGTGTGCACATAGAGGGCTTCAGCTCGTGCTGCAGTGCTGCGAGCCCAGCAACATC